TTTTGAAGGTCCCTTAAGACATTGTCCATCACGCGTTGAAAGGTGGATGGTGAGTTTTTTAAGCCCATTGGCATACGGAGAAACTCAAAATGCCCATGTTCAACTGTAAACGCGGTTTTATGGATATCGTCTGGATTCATTTCAACTTGATAAAATCCGCTTGCGAGATCTAATGTAGTGAAGTATTGACAGTTGCCTAACTTATCTAATACGTCAGCAATATTGGGTATAGGATAACGATCGTCAATAGTTTTTTCATTTAATTTTCTGAAATCTATGACCAAGCGCCATTTTGTTTTTCCACTGGCGTCGGCTTTTTTGGGCACAACCCAGATGGGGGAACTCCAAGCAGATTGTGAAGGCTGTATAATATTTTGTTGTAACATTTTAGAGATTTGATCCTGAACTTCCTGCTTATGTACAAAAGGATATCGGTAACTTTTAGTGTAGATTGGTACTTCGTCCGTAGTTTTAATAGAATGTTTTACCTGATTTGTGAAAGATAATGGTTCACCATCTATATAGAATACGTCAGCGTATTTGGCACAAAGTGTCTCTAAGTTAGCCTTCTCCTCGGGATTTAAATGTTCTGTTCGTAATCGTGCTAATACTTCTTTAACACGGGAATCGTACTGTTCAGAATGCAAGCCTTGAATATTAAATATTTCTGCGCTAACGGGACGATCCATTGAGAAGATTACATCATGACGTGATGAGTTAGTAACTTCTATTATGCCTCTACTATCTTTAACGTTTGTAATGCAATTGCCTATTAAACAGTTTGAGATTCGTTGTTCAGGAATGAAAACTTCACCGTCTTGAGAATTTATAGGGACATTAATTAATTTAGATAAGTTAGCCGGTATTATGTCTTCGTATAGGTTGCTGTTGCGTGAATTATACATTAATAATGGATTACTAGAGTTCCGTGTAATTAGCAATTTATTTTTTAAGTCTATGGTAGATTCTAATTTTTCTAATAAGTCATAGCCAATCAATCCGTCGAAATATTCGTGAAACGCGTACACGGAGAGAGTAATATCACCCGACTCATTAAATTCTTTAAAACAGGGTATAGTGATGGAGTAGTCAGTTCTAGTAGTAGCGTGAATATTGGTGACTTCAAAAGGGTCGTAATTGTATGGTACGTGAGGAAAGAATTGTTGAGCGACAGCTGGACTGACGAACGACATATTTGCACCTGTATCGATTAATAATTTGAGCGGGGATTTGAAATTTGAATATATGGTAACTGTCTCTGGGTATGTAAATTTATTTCTATTTTAATTTGTCTGATTTGGAGTCCTTCGGAAAATCCTCATTATCAGAAGGCTGAGTGCAAGGAACTTCTTCTATGGTGTACGTATCTTCAGTCTGTGGTTGCTCGCAACTAAATTCGTAAGAATTTTCGAAATAATCATAAGGATAATAATTATCGGTATTGTAAAAATCGTTGTAGTAATCATACTCGACCGGGCATGTAAAATCGTTATAATTTACCTGCTTTGTTTTAAAATAATTCGAAGGTGGTGGGTTACCAGCTCTCGACCAATCGTGGGTTGGACGCGGGGCGAATGGTTTTGCTACGTAGTGACTAACACCACTCATAGGTTGCGGTAAATTACTCCCGGAAGGCTTAGGGCCTGGCATTCTAAAGACATTCTGCGGTCCATTATTAGGTGGTGGCGCACTAAACATCTGTTGAGTCCGTGAGGGACCACGGTATTGAGGGGGTTGATTCCTCAACAATGTTGTTGTTGAGTCTGAGGCGTGAATAGTCGCGACGGTCCTGGTATATTAAAAGGCCTAGGAGGCGATAAGGTAAACGGGTGCGCTGAAGGCGGCGCCGTTTGCACGGGTGGCTTAAAACCATAAGAAAATCTCGGACTAACCTGATGCTGATACTGCAACTTCTTTTCAGGAGCACGTTCATTGCGCTGCTGTAAGTATAGCGTATTCATTTCATCATGTACATACTCAAGGGCTTTTTCAATAGTATCAGGCCGCATGCAACGAATACGAGAACCTAACGGGTCACGTAAGCCACGTAAGAACGACTGTAGTGTAAGTTTTTTATAAAGAGTGCGCTTTGATTCAATAGTAGTGGCTACCGTTTCATGCAGACTGATATAAGTCATAATGGTACTAAAAAGATTTTGGCATTGTTCATAAAATTCTTGGGGAGTTGCCGTACCTTGAGTTAAAAGGGCTAAGTCATTATACAAGGACGTTTCATCACGCTGATCGGCGAAATTATTTATTAAAGAACTTCTTATTCCTTCCCAGGAATCTGGAATCCCGTTCGTATTAATCAACCTCGCTGCCGACCCTACTACTTTATTTAAAATTCCATTTAATAATGCCAAATTAATTAATTCACGACCTGGCTCGTTCCTCATGTATTGATTTACCAGTTGATCACATTTTTATAAAGCGAGTTAATACGTTCGAGTTACCGTCGAATTCCGGCACCAGTCGTAGGGCCTTGTAAATATGATCCACTGATTCAGCCATATTCGAAGCGTGAGAACTACTACTTTCACACGGGTATGCTTCTAAATTTCTGTTAGCGTCTAAAATATTAATTCTATTACTATTACTATCTAACCTAGATAACCGAGATTGCCTTGGATGGAAAATCTTGGATAATTAGGGAAACACTTAAGGATAAAATGGAAAGCGACTCTAGAACGATTCTAGCGTACTTACTTGCACAAAATGGTACCTCTACTGTATCGATGTCTGGATACCCCTCGTGGCTGCAGCTCTCCCAGATTCGGATACTCGTGCGGTGCTTGATAACCACCCGGGTGGCTCGCGACTTTGAGGACTATTAGCGATCCTAGCAATTTACTCTCGCGAACCGGCCCGCGAGTATCCTACCGACTGCGCCAATTACGTAGGCTGTAGCCGGAGGATGCAAAGGAAACCAAATTGTTTCTTAAAATATAACTTTAATTAATTAAAATTACAATAAGTAGGTGATAATTGGTCGATGTTGTACCAAGAATGACGCTCTTTACACGGGTTGAAATTAGATCGACAATTTATGCTGAGTTCGCGCCTCGTGTACGGAAAGTTGTCGCGATGCACAAAAGTTCCTCATTTACACCGTTGGGCCGTCTATTGCACCGTAGCGTAACAAGCGTAGGTACCTACATTATGTCAACAAACAAAACAATAACAAGCGCGGCCGGCTGTGCCGAGCCGAGTCTATGCGGTTTTTAGTTTATTACATTATATAGTTATTAATAATAAATTAATATGTAAATCAGTACAACCCGAAGTCTAAGTTGATATTTTTAAGAATTATCAAACAATAAACAAGAAAATCAAATAAAAGATCCATTATATAGTACATATTTACATTACCTACCTTTTACTTGGGTCAATAGTCAATTCTCGTAACTCGAGTACACCTCTGCCTATGGTCATTACCGGAATCTAGTCCGATAAAGGATATTTTCTTGCGAAATCTTACTGTTTACTTTCAACAAACACATAAAATTACCTATTATCCACACGAACTTCACAATCGAATAATATAGGTACTTGTACTAGAAACTGATAAACAAATACACTATTTGAAAAACCTACACATATATTTAACTACTACTACACATATTTACGCAACTTTATGTTTCAAACTAATTCCTAATAATTTAAACGAAAACATAAACAAAGCGATCGCACATCACATGAAAACAATATGGCCGAAAACATTGGAAATGAATTGAAGTCATTACCAATAGTCAATTGAGTGTTTATTATAAAAAAAAATGTAGCCTAAAGATTAAGGTAATGCAGTGTTTAATTTAAAAAAAAAACAAAGGTTAATTTAGTAAGTCAAATGAAATTGTATCATCGTCTTAAACCAATATTTCATACTAAAAAACATTCATTCATATAATTTGAAACGTTGTAAATGGCGCCATCTTGACGTTTCAATAACTTCCTTTTAACTTTTATAATAATAAAGTCAACTCCTCGATAAAAATTTCTATAAACCGAAAACGCGTAAAAATGTTAAGCTTTAATTAAAACACTTGAAACATATTTGTTAAATACGCATTTATAAAAATACATTCGCATTATAAAGAACGAGTTCAGAAGTTTCAACAAAAAATTCAATAGATGGCGCTGGTGTACTCCATTCATCAGTACTTTACGATATACAGATTGTATCAATTTAAAACCTTTTATGATTTAATTGTTTTTAAAAATACAATAACTTCTTGCTGTTTTATTGTTTTAGAATTATTAATAAAATACGATCGTTTTCCAAGTAATGAACGAACGATCCTCTAATTTTTAAGTTGCCAAAATTTTGTCAATCAACAGGAATCGCATAATATAATTATGAATGGTTATTCTGTCACGTGACTATGGTCGTGATCTTCACGCATGCGCGGTGCATACTTTTAGTACATTACTTTTGTGACGTCACAACAGGCAACCAAGATTTAAGGAATAGCTGCGCATGCGTGGTGCGTACGGGGCGCATTCATTGCTTTACAAAGGCGTGCGGTCCGTGTATAGTATATATGTGAATGTATATTTATGTTAGCCGTTTTTTTACAAACTTTAATTATATTATTGAATCTTAATAAACGCGTTTGTACATTTTATGTATGTTATATATTCACGATATTTATATGTCAGGCAAAGCCTTTTCGCCTATATGGACTGCACGCCACTGTTTGTTAGTTTCCCTTTAGGGAACACAGAAAAATCTTAATGATAAAAATGAAAAAGAAACTAACAGTATTAAATATATTTTTTTTATAAAACACAGTAAAATAGCCTAAACGATCTTTACACCTTGACTCCGCGTATATGACTAATAATTCACATCTCACTAAGGCTAAGACATAAAATATTTTTTGCCACAAATGGGCTCGCTCGTCTAGTGTGATACCAATGGTGAGAAATAATAGTGTTATATGGTGTCCAACGGCGGCACTGAGTGCTAGATATCATCATTCATCTGTTCGTGGATTACCCCATCCGATAAAACAATATAGACAACAGAGATATACGAATAAATAATTTGTTTAATCTAACATCTAGACCTTAAGAAATGGTCTTCTTTGATTATATCTGCTGCTCGTTCTCCAATCATAATCGTCGCAGCATTTGTATTGGCTCCAGTAATCTTTGGCATTACACTGGCATCCGCTACCCTTAGCTTCTGTACCCCAAATACATTTAGACGAGAATCAACCACAACTCCCATAGCCGCTGACCCGGTGTAGTGGTACCCAGACACCATCATACACAGTGCATAGCATTTCCAATATTCTTCAGTAGAATACTTGTTCTCACATCCACACACTTCTGGCACAACTCTTTCGGCGTTAACGTTTTCAAAAAATTCTGTGTGTTGAATCTTCGCAAAATCTTCCACATACGACGCATGTCTTTCCAAATCTACTGGGTCAGAATAATAGCCAGTGTAAATTATGGGCTTCTCCTTTGGATCCGTGCTCCGTAATAATATTTTTCCTCTAGACTCTGGATATAATAATATCACTAAACTGAATAATACTTCTTTTCCAATACTTCCGTCATACAATGCTTGACATATTTCATCGATGTAAGAGTAATAAAAAGAGCAAAATTGCAACATAGGAGTTGGTTCGTTCATTATAAAGTTAATGGATTGGTAATCTGGATAATTTTTACTTTTGTTCAAACTCGTGTATCCCATCATCAATGGACTTGCGATATACAAGGGATCTATTGGTTTTGGTGGAGGAGACTTCCCCATTTTATGGGCCATCATAACCATGACATGGTCTTGTAAACTCTGTCCCACAGGAAGATCAGAAATAACTGGTATATTGTGACTTTCTAAATGTTCTTTGGGACCTATACCAGACAGCATCAATAACTGCGGCGTATTAATAGCACCGCCTGATACTATAACTTCTTTATCAGCTTTAAACTGTACAACTTCATTGTTTTCTAATATAGCTTCCACACCAATAGCATTCTTGTCTTCATCGAAGAGGATTTTTGTTACCAATGTGTTTTTGAGAACAAATAAATTAGGCCGATCTTTAATTGGATGTAAAAATGATTGAGCCGTGCTTTGTCTGACACCATTAGCAATATTGAACATGCATTCAGTAATACCAAGAGGGGTGTCACCGTTTGTATCCAGAACAATTCTGTTTCCAACTTCTTCAAAGGCTTCGAAGTATCTCAAAACTTCTTCATTATATTTTCTTGTTGTGGCTAAATACCCATCAGTTCCATGAAAACTCCTAGCACTTGAGTGGAGCATGACGGGGTCGACTAATCTCTCACTTTTTTTGAAATACGGCAGAACATTTTCCCAACTCCAAGATTCATCTTCAGTTAACTCAGCCCAGTTGTTGAAGTCATGATAGTTGCCTCTCGTGTAAGCTAGAAAATTTATTGAACTGGATCCTCCCAGCATTTTCCCTCTCGTCAGTTCTACTCCGTAATTTTTGTGATATTGTTGACTGTATCCATCATTTTCCGTTTCGTAATTCCAATCAACTTCAGTATTCTTCATAAATGCTAGTAATCCTGGTATCTGGAATAGAATATAAAATAATTAATGGTAAACACGATCGGTATAAACAAGGTCTTGACTTAGATCCTCGGATGGGCAAAACATTAATTGGGAGCTTCGATTTCTAAATTCTCCGAAGTAGTAGTACTATTAATAGAGGTTGGAATTGGCTCGATGTCTAGCAATTAGTATGGCGCCATACATGGGCTTCATGCCATAATAAACCAAGATCACTTAGACTATCAAATGACCTCTACCTGGGCATATATGTGGTATGATAATGTATGTTTAAAACATTTGTTTTACTTTAGATTTTAATTGATATATTGTGATGATAATTATCATACATAAGTAATAATTAAATATTGATTCAAGTTTCTCAAACCCCTTTCGAGTTATGAACGATGACAAGATATTTGAGTTACTGTTAGCAATTACTTTGCATTAATTAATATAGATTGACTTGCTTCGACTTGTTAGTATGTATGTATGCATAACTATAAAATATGTATGCATATTAATAGATTGCAATTTTAGTTCATACTAGGACGCTATTTTGTTGGCCCACAGGGGGACATTAGTAGGGACGACATGATTCACCTCAATTGGTGTGATAACAGTTACCATGCTTTATCTGTTTTTTAAGAAGTTATTGAGTGTAAATTTATTAAAGAGTGATTATTTGGACTTATTTGTATACACTTGTAAATAGATAGGTGAGAGACTTTTACTGTGTGAGAGTCTTTAAATGATTTAAATTAATAACTTGTATAATTATGTATTTATCGTATTTCATGTTTTATATTATAGTATTATTGTATTAATATGGACCTTCGTTGCCTGATGTAAATGAATAAATAAAAATAAATAAAAAAACAAATTGGGTCGGGTTTTTCTTAATTATCTTTGCGACTTTGGCTATTAATTACAAAACCTAAAAAACTAAAAGTATATTTACATACTAATTTCAGACCTGCAACACATAATTAGAATGCACACATTTTTTGCTCTCATACACCATTCTATTATAGCCCTTATTTCGAAGGTTTAAAGATTTATTTTGTATAAACAAGTTTGGCTATTGGAAATGAACAAGTTAATGGCTATTTACCACAGATTCAACAGGAGGGTCGCCGCCAGCCTCGATTAGTAAAACTGTGGCTTTTTCGAGCTCCGTCAATCTATTAGCAATGACACTGCCAGCTGATCCAGCGCCGACGATAATGTAGTCGAAGCAAGCACCATCTATAAACAAAAAAAACATTTAATTATTTTACAACTTGTGTTCCAATGGTTTACCGCTAACAGTTTGTTCCATAGCACTAAAATTGTCACGAAGTTGAATTAAAATCTGTTAATTAATTTAAAAATAATTCTCACTAGTAGCACGGAGTCTGGAATTGTGTCCGGTATATGGCAATCGGCTCACCCCCTATTACGTGGGACTTATAACACAAACTAGTTAAAAGTGGGTGTTACACGGTACAGTGGCATTAAGTGCCAGAATTTGCACCTCAGCCTACTCCTTCGGGGAAGAAAGGCGTGATGTTACGTTATGTTGTCCGAACGATACGTGATATTATGTGCATTACGTGATATTGGGTTGCCACGGTTTTATGCATGGTAGTTAAACACAAGCCATTATCTAATTATCTAATCATTCGGACCATGCAACAAGTTATGATACACAAGTTATGCACGCACATACATTTATATATACGGCTATAAGTTTTATTTTATGTAGAGGTTTTAGAAAAAAATAAAACGGGTCGCCCGCCTGGATGAGGTGGGAGGGAGTGTCAGACTCTTACTGACTAAAAACCACCCTGTTTGTACTCCTGCACTTTGAGCTGGAGCTCCGGCAATGTTAGTTACGTTCTCCACGGTTTGATTGTACACTGTACAGATTAGAGTCTAGTTTAGTTACTATCACGTGCTAAATAAGTCTTAGTTATGAGATAATTTTGGAGTAGTAAGTGAAAACTAGCATACCTCCTTTATCCAATTAACCTGTTGAAATATAATCCCCTAAATTTGTTCATACAAAAGTAGTCTCTAAACATCGAAAATAAGGTCTATAATATAGTTAGTAGGGAGCGGTCACCGGTGACCGCTTGGGGATTTTTTTTTTTTAAGGGGGAAATTCATCGAATCTCTACTCCCGCCTGGGTGAGGCGGAAGGGAGTGTCAGACTCTTATTGACTAAAAACCACCCCGTTCCTTCTCCTGCACGTCGAGCCGGAGCCCCGGTTACCCGTTAGGTTCTCCGCGACACAGCTTGAGGATAGGTTAACTTAAAAAGATGGAAACAGAATGTCATTCACTGTCATAATATAGAGGTAGATGCACGGATAAACTAACTATAACTCTTTGTGTGATCCACAGATTGTTGTTCCGGGTCTGGGTGTCATGTGTATGTGAACTTGTATGTTTGTAAACGTACCCACGACACAGGAGACCATCCTAGTGTGGGGTAACGTATTTAAAAAGAAAAAAAAAATAGATCGATAAATATTGATCTTTGGCGGTTATATTTATTACTAGCTACTTCCGCGCGGTTTCACACGCTCTGCTCAGCTCCTATTGGTCGTAGCGTGATGTTTTATTGCTTATAGCCATCCTCGATAAATGCGCTATTTAACTCAAAAAGCATTATTCAAATCAGACTTGTAGTTACGGAGATTAGCGCGTTTAAACAAACAAACCTCGACCTATAAAGTATAAAAAAAAAACAAAAAAAACAAACTCTTCCGCATTATATAATAGTATTGTTTGGACTGTGAGTGTTTTTACGAATTGAATAATGTGAAATCTATACGTGAAAACCTGTAAATTGCTTTCTGGTGTTATTTTATTATCTATTTGTTTGCTATGTGTAGCTGTTGGTTTTCCATCCATAAAAAAAAAAAAAAAATAACAACATAACATAACATAACATAACATCACACCTTTTATCCTCAAAGGGGTAGGCAGAGGTGCACATTATACTACTGTACAATGTAACACCCACTTTTCACTATTTATGTTATGAGTCCCATGTAATAGGGGGTGAGCCTATTGCCATATACCGGGACAGTTCCAGACTCCGTGCTACTACTGAGATTTTTTTTTAAAACCCAGTAATACTTTGCCCGACCCGGGAATCGAACCCGAGACCCCTTGCTCGGCAGTCGCAATTGCGACCACTCGGCCAACGAGGCAGTAAAAATAAATAAGAGTGTAAAATAAGATTTCTGCTTTTTTTATCAAGTGAAAGAGAGAGGTATACCTTGAACTTGGGCTTGTTGCGGCCACAGATACGCAGTCAGCTGCAAAGCTGCCAATATTTTCAAGGCCCCTTGAATTCTTTGAATTCCAAGCACAGCTGATGTCGCATTCATTTCTTGCGTTTTCTTTTACAGATTATTGTTGTTTATTTTTTCCATCGCCTCTGAAAAATAAAGATTATCAATACATAATTATCATGTCACATTCTTAATAAACATAACTTTATGAATGGTTGATATTATGTATTTAATCTAATACCAAATCTCTCGATCGATCTACATTTTTGGTATAATAAATAAAGACTCTTCTGACTGAAAATAGTTCTTTTGTAGCGTACGTTGGATTAATTTTGGTCTTAATTTGTTAAAGTAAACTATTACAAAACAATATAACATAACATCACGCCTTTTATCCCCGAAGGGGTAAGCAGAGGTGCACATTACGACACTCAATGCCACTTCACAATATAACACCCCATTTTCACTATTTATGTTATAAGTCCCATGTATTATGGGGTTATACCGGGCACAATTCCAGACTCCGTGCTACTACTGAATTTTTTTTAAAGACCCAGTAATATTTTGACCAACCCAGGAATCGTACCCGAGTCGCACTTGCACCCACTAGGGCAGAAAACAATATATAGTTACAACAACCTATTTAATTAAATAAATAAATGACTAAAACACTTACCTAAAAATCACACAATAAATATTCCAATTTGTATGTATTTACTTCTTAACCAATATTTCGCCACAGAATATTAAAAAAATAAAATTTCAACTTATAACAAACACTGTAGACGCTCGCAACTGGACTACAACTTGTATGAATAACAATATTTATACCAAGCCTGAATTACTGGCGCCGTCCGTGGGTTTGCCCGCGTCAAATTCTGATTACCTGTCGTTTAAATATAAAAATTAAGTGCAGCAGAAAAATTACACTTATTACCTTTTAAAATGGTGTTATTAAAAATAGAACTGTTTTGATTAATAATAAATTTGATAAGTATAATCTTACTTTATTTACTAATACAGAGCAACCATTTTTTTTAAGCGGGGAAAATCATCAGACTCTTACTGACTAAAAACCACCCCGTTCTTTCTGCTGCACGTCAAGCCAGAGCCCCGGTAACCCGTTAGGTTCTCCGCTACTCCGAATTGCCATCGACCCACAGAGCAACCCTACAGTTTTATTTTCGTTCTTCGTTAAATGGAGTAGGTACCTATATTAATAAATTAATAAATATTAGATTTTTTTAAGCCTAATAGGATCAAACAAAAAAAATATTCTGTCAACATAATATAACATCACGGCTTTTATCTCCGAAGAGGTAGGCAGAGGTGTACATTATGCCATTGTACAATTGTAACACCCTCTTTTCACTATTTATGTTATGAGTTCCATGTAATAGGGGGTGAGCCTATTGCCATATACCGGGCATAATTCCAGCCTCCGTGCTACTTCTGCGATTTTTTTTTAAACCCAATAATACTTTGCCCAACCCGGGAATCGAACCCGAGACCCCTCGGCCGGCAGTCGCACTTGTAACCACTCGGCCAATGAGGCAGTTTGTCTGTCACTATAATTTAAAACTTATTTATTATATGTATGTGTGATTTCTGAATGTGCATCATTCAATCAGACTCAAAGTTTTTCATTATAATATGTATATTTTTATATATTTAGGTACCTATAATGTTAATAATATGCACGTATATAAATTAATAACTCAAAGGACAGATTAGAATGAATCACAAAAATTACTTGGTATTGTGAGAAGTACCTGCTTACGTCCAAAATAACAAAGGTTATTTAAATAAAAATCCATATTATTTACCTAACATAACATTACGCCTTTTATTCCCGAACGGTTAGGCAGAGGTGCACATTACGGCACTTAATGCCATTGTACAATGTAACACCCACTTTTCACTATTTATGTTATGGACTCCATGTAATAGGGGGTGAGCCTACCTTAAACCGGTCACAATTGTAGACTCCAGGCTACTACTGAGAATTTTAAAAACAGCCAGTAATGAGAGGGAATACTCCATGGTAGGCAACTTACGGGCCTGCAGATGGCAATCACGGGTGACTCGCTGCCTGACCAGAACCAGGACTGAGCGTACGGCGCGCGCCTCAAGGAGCCATCAGACCACCACAGATGGGACTCAATAGGGCTGATGCCGATATAAAGCCGCGGAAGACTTAACGGGTTGCCGGGGCTCCATATCGACGTACCGGAGTAGGAACGGGGTGGTCTTTAGTCAGTAAGAGTATGACACTCCCTCTCGCTTCAATTGGTCGGGAGAAGTCATTGGCTGATATTTCCCCCTCAAAAAAAAAAAAAAATG